TAGGAGGTAGTAGTAGTGGTAGTGGTAGTGGTAATAGTAGTAGTAGTCGTAAGTAGGTTAGTAGTAGATGTTAGTAGTTAGTAGTACATTAGTAGTAGTAGTAGTAGTTCGATACAGAAGTAGTACTATAGACATGTAGTAATAAGTAGTAGTAGTAGTAGTAGTAGTAGTAGTAGTAGTAGTAAGTAGTAGTAGTAGTAGTAAGTAGTAAGTAGTAAGTAGTTAGTAGTAGTAGTAGTAGTAGTAGTAGTAGTAGTAGTAGTAGTCGTAGTAGTCGTAATAGTCATAGTAGTAGTCGTAGCAGTCGTAGTAGTAGTAGTAGTCGTAGTCGTAGTAGTAGTAGTAGTAGTAGTAGTAGTAGTAGTAGTAGTAGTAGTAGTAGTAGTAGTAGTAGTAGCTAGTAGTAGTAGTAGTAGTAGTAGTAGCAGCAGTAGTAGTAGTAGTAGTCGTAGTAGTAGTAGTAGTAGTAGTAGTAGTAGTAGTAGTAGTAGTAGTAGTAGTAGTCGGTAGTAGTAGTAGTAGTAGTAGTAGTAGTAGTAGTAGTAGTAGTAGTCGTAGTTGTAGTTGTAGTAGTAGTAGTAGTAGTAGTTCATAGTAGTAGTTAAGTAGTAGTAGTAGTAGTAGTGGTACGTTTAGTAGTAGTAAGTTAGTTAGTAGCAGTAGTAGTACGTAGTAGTAGTAGTAGTAGTAGGTAAGTTAGTAGTGCCCACCAGTAGTAGTAGAAGTAGTAATAGTAAGTTAGTTGTTAGTAGTAGTAGTAGTTAGTAGTAGTAGTGGTCAGTTAGTAGTTTAGTAGTAGTAGTAGTAGTAGTAGTAGTAGTAGTAGCACGCACCACCACCACTACTACGAACGAGTAGCTATTCTATTAGTACTGCCACGAGGTTCGTGCACCTGGTGGCGAGGGGCGGCTCTGAGGACCTCCGCCTCTTCGTCGGGGGCCCCGAGACCTTCGCCCAGCGCGGGGCCAGCGCGTGCGCGGTCGTCGTCGACGCCGCCGCGCTCTGGCTCAAGCTCCTCGGCGAGGAGCACGCGTGCGTCCGCGAGGGCGAGGTCTCGGCGCGAGCGACGTGGGCGCGGAAGGGAAGGGTGCAGTGCCCAACAGCAGTTCCTGTTCATTTTGAACAGGATTCGCTGTCGGTGTCGCCGCGGCCTGGGCCCCCTCGAGAGAAGGCCGCCTGCCCAACGGCGGCCGCTGTTGGTTCGGTGCAAAATTTGTTGGGGCGCTGTGCCGCTTCTTTCCGACCCCATTTCGGGCGCCCGCGAGGTGCGCGCAGCCGGCGCCGAGAAACGCGTCGAGAACCTCCGCGAGAAGTGCCGCGAGACGAGCAGCGAGCGCGACAAGGCAGCCTTCGAGACGGAGAAGACCAAGTACTTGGCAGAGCACCCCGACCAGAAGGCGCAAGCGGAGCAGGTCCACTCGAGCGCAGGAGACAAGTGCAGGACCACCCTCGCCAACATCTCCGCGGTCGAGAACTGGTTCGACCCGAGCAGGGGGCTGAAGTCCGCCAAGTTGCGCAGCGTCATCCTTGATCCCTGCGCAAGGCACTGCCGAGTCAGCGGCGTGAACCTCGAGGAGGGCACCTGGCGGCGCGACGTCATCTGCGAGCGGGGCGATGGCGAGACGGAGCGCTTCCGAGCAGGCGAGCCCTTGGGGGCATTGCCCAAGGACTGGCGCGACGCTCTGCTCAAGTTCTCCGAGGCGGGCTGCGCGAGGGTCCTCGAGGCCATCGACGCGCGGGGCCAGCAGGGCCTGGGCGGACGAGCTGGTGGCGAGCTGGACCATCGACTTCATCGACCAGGAGCACGGCCAGAGCCTTGTGTTCGCAGACTGCCTCTCGAGCCAGTGGGCCGAGGCAGTGGCTCTGCGAGCGTGGCTCAGGAATGTCATCTACGCGCCCGCGGCACCCGACGTCGCGAGCTTCTTGCGAGAGCCCGACGCCCGCGATCACAGCCAGCTCAAGGCCGAGATCCGAGAGGTCAAGGCCGAGATGCACTGGGCCATGGGGCAAGACTGGATCCAGAAGGCCGAGGCCGAGCCCCGGAAGGAGTACAAGTCCCCGACGCAATGGGGGCCCTACGAGTGCCTCTACTGCGTCTCCGAGGCCCACGCCCGCTTCCGCGAGCAGAGCAAGGGCGCGGTGCCGCTCCAAGGGCTGCGAGCCAACCAGATGCTCGTGGTCCGGCCGACAGAGCAAGGCGAGCTCAAGGTCGTCACGGGCATGGAGCCGTGGAGTTGCTTCACCGAGCCCGGCCGCGGCATCGAGAACAGCCTGGCGAAAGAGCGCCTCGAGGGCATCCAGAGCTGGCCCGAGGGCGCGCCGCCCGCGCCCGAGTGGAGCGTCCTCGACGGCGGCTGTTTCCACAACGACGACTTGCCGAGGGACTACGAGCAGGGCGAGAACCCCTGCCTCCCGGAGCTCCGAGAGCTGGGCGTCGAGCTCACCGACGAGCAGAAGGACGTGCTCAAACCGCCTGAGGAGCTGATCAAGGACATCAAGTTCCCGCGCGCCCTCGAGAACAGGATCAAGCTGAAACGGAGAGCTAAACGCAAGCACAGGTGGGCGTCCAAGTTCGCGGGCCAGTTCCCAGGCAAGCGCGCTCGCAAGTGGCAGCGCGAGAAGGCCAAGACTGGCGGCGAGACCTCGCTCGAGCACCTCAGCAGAGGCGTGGCCAAGGCGAAGTTCACTGGCAGGCCGCCGAAGGCGCGCGCGAGCTTCTCCAAGAAGTTCAAGCAGAAGAAGCAAGCGGAGAAGAACGCCGCGTAGAAGGACTGGGCCAAGCCGAAAGGCGGCCTCGAGGCTTGCGAGGAGCCCCCCCTGGGCACGGCAAGGTGGCGCGCGTCGCCGAGGAGGGCAACTGCGAGGGCAGGCGCGGCAGAGTGCAGGACGTCTGGCGAGTCCTGGGCACCGAGGACAAGTGCCGCCTGCGCGCCCCCGAGGTGGAGACCTGGGAGGGTCGCAGGCATTCGTTAGCTTCCGCCTGCTTCTGCCTGGGGCGGCGGAGGCAGGCGGAAGTTGGCGGACAGGGGCAGAGGCGAAAGCGGAAGCAGGCGGAAGCAACGCGAAGCGGAAGCAGGCGGAAGATGACGAACGCCTGCGAATCCCGAGCGCCACAGGTCACGATCGAGCAGGAATACAAGCTCCCCAAGCCGCAGAAGCTCGATTGGCGCCAAACAAGACGCGCTCGCCACGCCGCGCTCGCCAAGGAGTACGCGATCATGAGCTGCGAGCAGATCGTCAAGGGCAACGCCCTCCAGCTGGGCGCGGTGCGCGCGCTGCTGGGCGAGATCGAGGAGCGCGTGGGCGTCCCCGACAGCGTTCTGGTGGTCGAGCCCACGGCGGCCGTCGCCTGGGCTCGATAGGGCCAGGGCGAGGGCGCGCCCGCCGCCCGGCAGCCCGAGGAGCAGACGCGCTGGGCCGAGAGGGTCGACAAGGCCCAGCACGTGCTGTTCTGCGTGCACTCCGAGGCGCCCGCGCACTACACGCACCTCATGGTCGCAGGTTGCTGCAATGCCCCCCCCCCCCCGCCCAGGGTGCTTCCAGCGTGCGTTTGGCTCCGGCTTGGGGCGAATCCTGGAGGCGTCCTGGGCAGGGGGCACTCGTGGCAATTCCCGCCAGACCTCGAGGATCGACGGGGGCGGCGTCGAGGTGGACTACCGCGACGCTCTCGAGCAGCCGTCCGAGAACGCCAAGCAGGCCCAGAAGGGCCAAATGCGAACTCACGCCTACACCCCGCGATTTCTGAGGGGGGAAGGTGGGGTGCACTTTGCTCGGGAGCTGCCGAGCGAAGTGCACCCCGCCTTCCTCCTCAGAAATCATGGGTAGGGTTCGCGCGTGGCCTCCAAAGGCCGCCGCGAGGATCCCCCGCAAGCTCGTCGCCGTTGGCCCAGGCGAGCATTGCCCAGCACCGAGCAACAGACGGTGCCGAGTAGACGGTGGGAGCTGCGGCCTGGGGACGAGTCGCTGGATCGAGCGCGCCCTGCGCGAGATCCGATGCGAGGGCCGCCAAATGCCAGCAGCTCTCCACGCCATGGTCGCTCGAGGCAACGAGTTCATCAGTAAACTCAAGGAGGCGAGCGACAACGACGCGGCGATGACCAAGCCCAAGGCCAAGGCCAAGGTCAAGCACAAGTCCAACCCTTGCAAGGACCCGCAGCGGCCGAGCCGAAGTACGCCACTAACGAGGAGGCTGGCGCCGCCGCCCAGCTTTGCGCCAAGTGTCTCCCATGCAAGGACGGCTCCAAAGGATGCCGCGCTTGCGTGGAAGGGTGGTTCGAAGTCCAGCGCAAGAGGGTTTTCGTGGCCAGATCTGCCAAGGACCTCTCTTTCGCTGGCAAAATCTAGGCGCCTGCTTAGCCACGAACCTCGAGATCGCTCGAGTCAGCATTGTGTCCTGCGCCTTTGCGGGCAAGTAGCCGCGAGCCTCGAGATCGCTCGAGTCAGCCTTGTGTCGTGCGCCTCTGCGGGCAAGTAGCCACGAGCCTCGAGATCGCTCGAATCAGGCTCCTGTCGTGCGCCTGGTTTAACCGCCTCCTCCATCATCGTCGTCATCTTCATCATCATCATAACTTACACTCCCCAGGAACATCCTTTATTATCCCCGCGAGAACCGCGAAGTTTATTAACCCAGGGGGTTTGTTATCGCCCGCAGACGGTTACTGATGCCGATGCTGATTATGATGCTGATCGCGATGGTGAGATTGGTGTTGATGATGATGGTGATAGTGGTGGTGGTGCTGGTGATGAGGACGATGATAGTGAAGATGGCGATGATGATCATGATGATGATGATGATGATGATGATGGTGATGATGATGACGATGATGATCATGATGATGATGACCAGGATGGTGATCGTCAGCGGAAGGAGGAGGAAGAGGAGGAGGAAAAGGAGGAGGAGGAGGATGAGGAGGGAGGAGGAGGAGGAAATGGAGGAGGAGGAGGGTGGGGGGCGGGCGATTCATACAAGTAGTGACTAGGGGGAGGGGCGGTAACCCAAGGCTCTACATGTGCGTGGGCGCCAGCAACGTGGACTTCAGGCTCGACTGGTCCACGACGGCCGCGGAGGCCCTGCAGGCGGGGACGGCGGGCCCCACAGTCGGCGGCACCCCAACATACTTGTACTATATGTGCGTCGTCCCCCCAGGGGCGACGCGCGCACCGAGAAATCATATAGTATAGGCGCCGTGGCGGGCGCTTTCTGGCCACCGCTCGGGACACGATCTGCTCCAAGATGGGTGTAATATATGTTCGGATCGGACGCGCGCCTCCAAGGAGGACATGTAGTATAGTATGTCTGTGTGCGTCCCACACAGGGCGTCTGGGGCATTCTAGGCCTCACTTTCGGCAGGCCACGCAGGCAGCAGCTCCGTCAGCGGCTTCTCTTTGCGCCGCGTGGTGCTGGACGCAGAGGCCAGAACGGGCATCTGACGGAGAACGGATAGGTGGGTACGGAACTTCACCGCCTGGTTGGCGCATGACCTTGTGCCCCAGACGTGCAACGTCTTGATTTTTTCAGAACGCGGTCGCTGGAAATCCCGGGACCGGTTTTTCGTCCTGAGTCGTTTTTTGACGTTCCCGAGGCCCGGTAAGGGCCCCCGGCGGCCGAAAACGGCCCCAAACCTCCCGTCCTGATTTTTTCACGATGCGATCATGTCTGGGCCTGTGCCCTTGCGGGCCCACTGTCTTTTTCCATCTCTTCGTGCGTCGCTTTGCGCCGCTGCGCCAGCCAGGCGCAGGTTGTTCGTCGCGCGTTGCTCCGTCGGCCGCGCTTTTTTTTTGTTCGGCACTGCCCGCATCACAGCGCCACAGGCTCTGTCCTCAGGTATGCCCGGCGCAAGAGGTGGGTATGGAGGTGCGGTGGGAGATGGGAGAAGGCGGATCGGGAGCCTTGAGACGGGGGTCAATGCAAACGGGGGTCAGCCAGAGCGCCCGATCTTGCAGGATCCTGCTGGGTCAATGTCGCATTGACCCGGGTTTGGGTGCAGGATCCTGCAGGATCTTGCAGGATCCTTCGCATCGAACAGGGTTTGGGTGCAGGATCTTGCAGGATCTTGCAGGATTCTGCAAGGCCTGACTGACCCGGGTCTGGATTGACCGGGTCAGAAGATCCCCCGGCGGAATCTGGGGTATGGAGGCATGGAGGCATGGGGAGAAGGTGGAGGTATGGAGGTAGGGGGAGAAGGGGGGGGAGTTGGGGTTCAAGGAGGGGGCCCTGAGGGACGAGGCCCCGAGGACGGGTGGCCGCGAGCAGGGAAGGTTCCGCCTGGGTTGCCGTGGCGGGGCGATCGGGTGCCGTGCTGCGGGGACTGCTGCTGCAGGGTCGAGCCACGTCGCTGGCAGCCTGCTGCCACCGTGCTGGAGGCGCCAACGGCGGAGGTTATGATCTCTGCTTTCCCTCCCTCCCGAGTCCGCAAGACCCTCCCGAGTCCAGCCGTGGCGACGAGCCGCCCGCCCGTCCACCCTGGGAGCCTTTAGAATCACTAGAAACACCAACAGCATACACCAAATCCCTCCCCCTTCTCCGCCTCCTCCTCCGCCTCCTCCTCCTCCTCCTCGTCCTCGTCCTCCTCCTCCTCCTCCTCTTCCTCCTCCTCCTCCTCCTCCTCCTCCCCTCTTCCTCCCTCCTCCTCTCCCTCCCCTCCCTCCCCTCCGCCTCCCTCCTCCCTCCTCCCTCCTCCCTCCTCCTCCTCCTCCTCCTCCTCCCACCTCCTCCTCGTCCTCCTCCTCCTCCTCCTCCTCCTCCTCCTCCTCCTCCTCCTCCTCCTCCTCCTCCTCCCTCCATTGCACGAAGGCAGCATGCACAGACCATACGCTTGAGGCCTGGCGAGTCTGAAGGTCCGCTGGGAGCCCCGAGATCCCGCGAGCGGCAAAACGCAGACAACATAACCCGTCTCCCTCGGGACCCCCGTCCCCGCCTTCGCGAAGAGCCACAGCGCAGGGGGGCGGCCTCGTCCTCCTCCTCCTCCTCCTCCTCCTCCTCCTCCTCCTCCTCCTCCTCCTTGGCCTGTGGTGGCACGAATTGGCCGCAAGACGCCCCCGGCAGCAGCTGTATGTCTGCTCTTTCGCGGACGTCCGATCCGATCCGATCCTCCTCTTCTTCCTCCTCCTCCTCCTCCTCCCTCCTCCCCTCCTCCCTCCCCTCCCTCTCCTCCTCCTCCGCCTCCTCCTCTCGTCCCCCTCCTCCTCCTCCTCCTCCTCATCCTCCTCCCCCACCCTCCTCTTCCCCCACTCCTCTTCCCTCTCACTCCTCCTCCTCCTCCTCCTCCTCCTCCTCATGCTCCTCCTCTGCCCCAGTTTTGGGCTCCGCTGCACCAGTCGGCTCAGAGCGCAGAAGGTTGCGTGTTTGCAGGGACATTCATGTGCCTCGCACATTTCAGAAGGCAAAAGGAGGCCACACTGTTAGGCCCAGGGCGATGAACGACGCACGCTGTAAACCAGCCTTGCTCAGACCAGAGCTCACCAGTCCTTGAACAAGGGCGGCCTGAGTGAGGATGAACTAAGTGTGCGCAGAGGCATCTATCTGGCGGACATTGGTGCAAACTCTGCCGCGGCTGTACAGCCATAAATTGACCAGGAGGTGCCAGAACGCACTGGCATGGATATAAGCTATGTTCGAGCTTTCAGCATCTTGACAATGGAGTTGCTCGGCGACTTTTCCGCTCTGGAGGAGTATGAGGAAGACGCCTACACTCTTCACAATAACCCTCGAAGCGCACCAGGGGAAGAAGGCTGTTCAAGTTGCAGTGGGTCGCTCGAGGATGGAGCTGTCCAGAATGCTAACAGCTGGACAGGGACTTAGCGTATCCAGAGCGAGCTCCCCGCCCGAAATTGCAGTGGCCAGCCCAGGGAGATAAATCTAAACACAGTTGTTGATCTGGGACATTGTTGATGTTTGCATGCAGCAGCGGCAGCTCTCTGTGTGTTTGCGTCCACTGCGGTTCTTTTGTCTAACATGGCTCCCCTTCCAAGAGCAACCAGTATAATCAACGTTGGCTAAGAGTGACGCAGCCACGCCAGAAGACGACATTCAACAGCTCTGTTTTAAGGCAAGCGTCCCGACACACGCAAGACTACTGTGCGCGCTTGCTCAGAGGACATTTTCAGAGCTGGAAGTTCCGAACCATTACCCTCGTTGCCCGTTAGAGCTCCAGTGTCGCCGCCATCATCGGAGGATGACCTCCGAATCGAGGCAGCAGGGGCCACATTGGCCCGCACAGCCCAGCTCCGTGAGGTGGCGGCCGCCATTCGTCGCGAACACGCGATGGCCCTTCCCCATCACTTTCGAGATGATGGGGGAAGTCGGAGTCGGGATCAGACTAGCGTCTATGCCTGCAGCAGGCCCTCCTTTCGCTGCGGAGGGCCTGTCTCTTCAACCTGCCCAGCTCGGCCAGTCCGAGCCGCAGGATGTGCCTTCAGCTGGAGCCCCGCGGGCACAACCAGTCTCGCGTACGCCCCCCTCCGCTCGCCTCCGCTCGCCTCCACTCCCCCTCGCCCCTCTCCCCCGCCCTCCCTTAGCCTGCCCCCCCCACCCACTGCCTCCTCCTCCCCCCTCCGCCTCCTGCCCTGCCTGGTCCCCGTCTGCCCCCTCGCAGGACTGGTGGGATTGCTTCTCCTCCTCCTCCTCCTCCTCCTCCTCCTCCTCCCCTCCTCCTCCTCCTCCTCCTCCTCCTCCTCCCCCCCCGTCCGCCCCCCCCCCCTTCGCCTGCCCGTCTGCCGTGAGCTGGTGCGGTGCCGGCAGGAGACCGAGACGTACGGAGACCGCGTTCGGATCCTCAAGGTCAAGAAGCAGGAGTGCGCTGCCACATTCCGAACTTGCTGTCGCCGTTCGCTGTCGCCTCCTCCCTCTCCTCCTCCTCCTCCTCCTCCTCCTCCCTGCGCCCGCCCTCCTCCGTTCTCTCGTTCTCCTCCTCCTCCTCTCACTCCTCCACCCCGCCCCCTTCCGCCTCTACCTCCTCCACCTGCAGGAGGGGACGGAGCCCAGCGAGACCTTCCTCCCGAAATTCGGGTGGCAGCAGGCCGCCCTCGCACGCGAGGGGGGACCAGGAGAGAGAGAGAGAGAGACAATGATGATGATGCTGCTGCTGATGGTGATGCTGATGCTGATGATGCTGATGCTGCTGATGAAGATTCTGCTGATGATGATGATGTTGTTGATGATGAGGAGGAGGAGGAGCAGGAGGAGGAGGAGGCGGAGGAGGGGGCGGAGGAGGAGGAAGGAGAGGAGGAGTAGGATGAGGCGGAGGAGGAGGCGGAGGAGGAGGAGGCGGAGGAGGAGGAGGAGGAGGAGGAGGAGGAGGCGGAGTGTTGAGTGCCCAGCTTCCCAGCAAAGTCGCAAGACCAGAAGCAGACAAGTCCCTTCCCACCTCACGAGAACACGGCCATTCAGTAAGCCACGTTGGAGATCGCCGCCACACAGAGTTCACACTTGGAAATGTAGTAACCGCCAAAGCTGCAAGCTGGCACGCGAAGAACACACTTTCACCACACTGCGCGCGATGATGATGCTGCTGCTGGTGATGATGCTGATGCTGATGGTGATGGTGCTGATGATGATTATGATGGTGATGGTGATGATGCTGATGATGAGGCTGATGCTGATAATGATGCTGAGGCTGTTGATGATCATAATGCTGATGTTGCTGACGATGCTGATTTATGAAGACGGTGATGCTGCTGATAGTAATTGTGATGCTGATGCTGATGATGGGGATGTGGCTGAGCATGAGGATGTTTATGATGCTGGTGATACGGGTAATTGTTGGTATGGTATGGTAAATATAGGTGTTGATGGCGGTGATGGCAATGATGGTGATGCTGACGGTGCTGAGGCTGATTCTGATTATGATGATGGTCTTGGTGATGGTGCTGGTGATGGTGATGATGCTGACGATGCTGAGGATGATCATGGTGATGCTGATCCTTGTGATGATTGATGCTGATCATTATGACGATGATGACGATGACGATTGTGGTGATGGTGATTGTAGTGATGATGATGGCGCTCATGACGATGACGGCGAAGATGATGATGAAGATGAGGATGATGCTGACGATGCTGATGATGATCGTTGTGATGATGATTGTACTCTTGATGATGATGACGGTGACGATGACGACGACGATGAGGATGACGATGATTATGTTTATGACGATGATGACACTCATGGTCCTAATGATGGAGATGATGACGACGATTCTGATGCTGATGATGTTGATGATTCTGCTGACATTGATGATGATTATGCTGATGATGATGATGATGATGATGATGATGATGATGATGATGATGGCGATACCCATGACGACCATGATCATGCTGGTGATAATGGTGGTGGTCGTGAGATGATGACGACGATGATGCTGATGATGGTGCTGATGATGCTGATGATGAGGATGATGACGATGAGGAGGAGGAGGAGGAGGACCAGTGTACACCCAGGCCTCATCAACGATGTTGGAATAAACCCTCCCTCCAAGCTCCCTCTATTTCCACTGAAGGAACTGCCTGGTTGGGAGACAGCCGCTTGAAGGCCCTGAAGCGTGCCCAAACACAATTCTCTGGACTCCAACGCCGCGAATCAACCTGACTGTTGCGTCTCGACGATCCGGAAGCGTGCCAGAACACCATTCCTGGGACTGCAACACTGCGAATCAATGTAACTGTTAGGCCCTCACAACGGTGAATCCCTCCAAAGCACCATGTCTGGTACGTTGGCCATGGGAATCCGTGTAGCGGCACTTAGGCGAGAGCCGCTTTTTGAAAACCCCCCGCCCACAATTTGTGAAGCCCCAGCAAATGTTTAGGACGAGTATGCGCGGCGCTAAGGCGTGAACCACATCTTGAAAAGGACCCGCTCTAAACCCGTGAAGCTCTGACGATTTTTAAAACGAATGTGCGCGGCGTTAAGGCGAGAGCCACATGTTGAAAAGGAGCCGTCCTCCATCCGTGAAGCCTTTGAACATGTTTAAGACGAGTGTGCGCGGCGCTAAGGCGAGAGCCACACTTTGAAAACCACTTGTTCTCAACCCGTGACATCTTGCAAATGTTTGTTCAACGAATGCGCGCGGCGCTGAGGTGATAGTTTCATTTTGAAAGCCACCCGCCCTCCATCTGTGAAGTGGTTGCCAATTTCTAAGCTTCAGGGTGGAGGAGGACGAGGAGGACCAGTGTAAACCCGAGAGTCATCAACCATGTTGGAATAAACCCATCCCCCCAAAGCTCCCTCTTCATAGGCCCCCAATACGGTTCGTTTCCATCGGCTCGAAAACCTTTAAGCATGCTAAGATATTCTCTTCGGAATTTCAATGCCACGGGTCAACCTGAGTGTTGCGTTTTGACGATCCTGAAGCGTGACAGCACGCCGTTCTTGGGACTTCAACACCGCGAATCAACGTCACTGTTGCGCACGCAAAATCCTGCATCCATCCAAAACACCATGTCTGGTACTTTGATCGTGGGAGCCAGTGAAAGTCTTGCACATGTTATAAACGAATGTGCGCGGCGCTAAAGCGGAAGCCACATTTTGAAAAGGAGCCGCCGTCAATCCGTGAAGCTTTTGCAACTTGTTAAAACGAGTGTGCACGGCGCTAGGGCGAGAGCCACATGTTGAAAACGGGCCGCCCTCAATCCGAGAAGCTCTTGCATTTTTTACAACGAAAGTGCGCGGCGCTAAGACAAGAACCACATTTTGAAAACGGGTCGCCCTCAATCCGTGAAGCTCTGGCCATATTTTTACAACGAATGTGCGCGGCGCTAGGGCGAGAACCACATTTAGAAAACGGTTTGCCCTCAATCCGTGAAGCTCTTGCAAATTTCAGAAACGAATGTGCGGGGCGCTAATGCGAGAGCCACATTTTGAAAACCACCCGCCCTCGATCTGTGAAGCTTTTGTCAATTTGCAAGCTTCAGGGTCACAAGTGGTGAGGAAGCCTCTGGCGAAACGCCGGGCCCGCCCTAAAAGCTGGCCTCAGGGTGCGACAGGGAGAAATTATTTATAAGGAAGAGGAATGGAGGTGTAGAAAGAGGAGGAGGAGGAGGAGGCGGAGGAGGAGGAGGAGGAGGAGGAGGAGGAGGAGGAGAAGGAGGAGGAGGAGGAGGAGGAGGAGGAGGAGGAGGAACAAAAGGAGAAGCGAGCATAAGGAGGAGGAGGAGGAGGAGGAGGAAAAAGGAAAAGCGAGCATAAGGAGGAGGAGGAGGAGGAGGAGGAGGAGGAGGAGGTGGAGGAGGAGGAACGGTGCGCCCACGCGCACGCGTGGCGACCGCACGCCTGCCGTTCATTTCGCGGCGCGCGCCCCAGCGCCCGCCTGCTTCTCCTGCGCCCGCTAGGGTGGGAGGGCCCCTCCTCCGCCCGCGGGCTGCCGGTCTGCAGCGTGCCGCCTGGGCGTCTCGCGAGGCGCCGGCAGTCGGCGGCGAGCGGGGAGGAGGAGGAGGAGGAGGAGGAGGAGGAGGAGGAGGAGGAGGAGGAGGAGGAGGAGGAGGAGGAGGAGGAGGAGGAGGAGGAGGAGGAGGAGGGAGGAGGAGGAGGAGGAGGAGGAGGAGGAGGAGAGGAGGAGGAGGAGGAGGGGGGTGGGGGGGGGGAGGAGGGGGGGAGCGGGGGGGGGGGGGGGGGGGGGGGAGTCGAGAGGAGGAGAAGGGGGTGCGAGGCTCGAGGTGCGAGCTGCGAGGTGCGAGGCGCGTTTTCCCCCGATTTTGGCCCCTGGGGGCCGTGGCCGGGCCGCCCTGGGGCCGCCGACGCGCGATGCGGGGTGAGAAGCCGCCTCGGGGGGCCCCCTTCCCGGGGAGGGGTCCGCCGGGGATGGGCTTTGGCCGAGGCGGCGCGCCCGAGGGGGGGGCAGTGAGCAGGAGGAGGCCCTCTCGCAGCGGGACTTCCTGGAAGCCCTCGCGCCCTCTGAGAGGCTCTCTGTGTCTCTGGGGAGGGCTCGGAAAACTGCTGGGAAGGCAGGAGGGCTCCCGAGCCTTCGGAGAAGGCCCGTTCCGTTTCACTCTCCCCCCCCCCCTCCCCGGCTCGCCGCCAAGTCGATCCTCGATCCAGGAATGGCACCGTGCCCAACACCTATGCGCCGTGCCGCGTTGGAGCGGGGCCTGAAGGGAGTCCAGACACGGCACGGTGCACGGGCGCCGTTCCCGCACTCCTCCCATGGTCTGTGGGGGTCGGAATGGGCATGGTCCAGGCTGCCCAGATGGGGTCGGAGTAGATGGGGTCGGAGGATCGTGCCGCATCGCCGATGCATCGCCGATGCGGCTCGATGTGGAGCCCGATTTGCTTCAGGTCGACGTCCCCAAAGCATCGCCCACGTCGACGATGCATCGCGGTTGCACCGCCGATGCATCGCCGATGTATCGGCGATGTGGCTCGATCCTCGGACCCCATCTACTCCGACCCCGTCTAGGAGGCCTCTGTATGAAAGGACTGGGAACAATGACCCCCGGCAGTTCCCGCCCCTTCTGCACATGATTTGCTGTCGGCCTCGCCCTGGGGCCCTGTCCACTTGAGGCAGGAGGTCGCCTGCTCCACAGCGGCCGCGGTCGGTTTGGGCCAACAGTGGCCGGCCTTGTTTGTCTCGGCGAGGACCATCGGGGGGCATGTTCGTCAACTCCGCGAAAACACACGCACCAAACCGACCAAAAAAACAGGGAATGGACGTCCGAGTGATGGCGAGGAGAAGGGGGTGGTCGATAGGCTTGGCGCAGGTGCGCCCTGCTCGCCGCAGCCTCGCCAGGGCCGCCCCGGCCAGCGGGCCCCCGGTCGAGCGGGCCTCCCAGCGGCACCGCCAGGGGTGCCACGGCCC